CTGCTGGTGGGTCCAGCGGAGTGAGGCACCGCGCAGATCTGAGCAAGACCTCGCCGTGCCTGGGGGGCTGCGATCTGCGAAACCGTCGCCACTTTCGAGGGCTGCTGGTGGGTCCAGCGGAGTGAGGCACCGCCCAGATCTGAGCAGGACCTCGCCGTGCCTGGAGGGCTGCGGTCTGCGACACCGTCGCCACTTTCGAGGGCTGCTGGTGGGTCCAGCGGAGTGAGGCACCGCGCAGATCTGAAGACCTCGCCGTGACTGGGGGGCTGCGATCTGCGAAACCGTCGCCACTTTCGAGGGCTGCTGGTGGGTCCAGCGGAGTGAGGCACCGCGCAGATCTGAGCAATACCTCGCCGTGCCTGGGGGGGTGCGACCTGCGAAACCGTCGCCACTTTCGAGGGCTGCTGGTGGGTCCAGCGGAGTGAGGCACCGCGCAGATCTGAGCAAGACCTCGCCGTGCCTGGGGGGCTGCGATCTGCGAAACCGTCGCCACTTTCGAGGGCTGCTGTGGGTCCAGCGAGTGAGGCACCGCGCAGATCTGAGCAAGACCCAGCGGAGTGAGGCACCGCGCAGATGCCCTCGCCGTGCCTGGGGGGCTGCGATCTGCCAAACCGTCGCCACTTTCGAGGGCTGTTTGTGGGTCCAGCGGAGTGAGGCACCGCGCAGATCTGAGCAGGACCTCGCCGTGCCTGGAGGGCTGCGGTCTGCGAAACTGTCGCCACTTTCGAGGGCTGCTGGTGGGTCCAGCGGAGTGAGGCACCGCGCAGATCTGAGCAGGACCTCGCCGTGCCTGGGGGGCTGCGACCTGCGAAACCGTCGCCACTTTCGAGGGCTGCTTCTGGGTCCAGCGGAGTGAGGCACCGCGCAGATCTGAGCAAGACCTCGCCGTGTATGGGGGGCGGCGATCTGCGAAACCGTCGCCACTTTCAAGGGCTGCTTGGGGGGGCCGCATAGCAATCTGCGGAACTGTCGCCACTTTCGAGGGCTGCTTCTGGGTCCAGCGGAGTGAGGCACCGCGCAGATCTGAGCAAGACGTCGCCGTGCTTGGGGGGCTGCGATCTGCGACACCGTCGCCATTTTCGAGGGCTGCTGGTGGGCCCAGCGGAGTGAGGCACCGCGCAGATCTGAGCACGACCTCGCCGTGACTGGGGGGCTGCGATCTGCGAAATTGTCGCCACCCTCGAGAGCTGCTGGTGGGTCCAGCGGAGTGAGGCATCGTGCGTATCTGAGCAGGACCTCGCCGTGCCTGGGGGGCTGCGATCTGCGAAACCGTCGCCTCTTTCAAGGGCTGCTTGTGGGTCCAGCGGAGTGAGGCACCGCGCAGATCTGAGCAGGACCTCGCCGTGCCTGGGGGGCTGCGACCTGCGAAACCGTCGCCACGTTCGAGGGCTGCTGGTGGGTCCAGCGGAGTGAGGCACCGCGCAGATCTGAGCAAGACCTCGCCGTGCCTGGGGGGCGGCGATCTGCGAAACCGTCGCCACTTTCAAGGGCTGCTTGGGGGGGCCGCATAGCGATCTGCGGAACTGTCGCCACTTTCGAGGGCTGCTGGTGGGTCCAGCGGAGTGAGGCACCGCGCAGATCTGAGCAAGACCTCGCCGAGCCTGGGGGGCTGCGATCTGCGAAACCGTCTCCACTTTCGAGGGCTGCTGGTGGGTCCAGCGGAGTAAGGCACCAGCGGGACCTTGACGTCCCTGAGGGGGCTGCGATCTGCGAAGCTGTCGCCACTTTCGAGGGCTGCTGGTGGGTCCTGCGGAGTGAGGCACCGCGCAGATCTGAGCGGGACCTCGCCGTGCCTGGGGGGTTGCGATCTGCGAAATTGTCCCCACTTTCGAGGGCTGCTGGTGGGTCCAACGGAGTGAGGCACCGCGCAGATCTGAGCAAGACCTCGCCGTCCTTGGGGGGCTGCGATCTGCGAAACCGTCGCAACTTTCGAAGGCCGGTGGCGGGTTCAGCGGAGCGAGGCACGAGGCAGATCTGAGCGAGACATCGCAATCCTTGGGGGGCTGCGAGCCTCACGAATGCCACTCGCAGAAGCATATGCGCCCATGTCACGTCATCACCTCCGTGTGACGTCTCCCAAGTTACTCATGCCCCGCATTGCGCAGGGGTTGGGTACGTCGCCAGAGTAATGTTTGAATATTGTTTGTGTCTTATTTAAATGTTTTGCCCAACATTCCCCTCTAGGGGGACAGGCCCGACCTAAAACTAGAGCCCATCAGACGTTGAGAGCACGCCAGGCACCCATGGGGCGGCGGATCGTAGGCGCCTGCGGCGAATCACCGCCGCCCACTGCCTTTTGGAATATCTCCCATCTGGCCGAGCGTTTGGCCTATGCAGCGTTTAGTATCGCCCGTGTGGCCGGACGTTGTGGCCAGAGCTCTGCCAAGCTGTCCGACCATGTGTGCTCCCCCTGCCGTTGTGGAAACCCGTCGGATAACATTTTGGGAAGGATGGCGGGGAAGATCAGGAGGTGGAGGAGGAGGAGGAGGAGGAGGAGGAGGAGGAGGAGGAGCGGGCATCTTGGGAGCCTCTGGGGGCACTCTTGGGGCCTCCTGGGAGCTTCCTGGGGGCCTCTTGGAAGCCTCCTGGAGGCCTCCTTGGGCCTCTTGAGAGCCTTAGTTGGCCCTCTTTGGGGCCTTCGGGGGCTGCTTGGTGTCCTCTCTGGTCGTCAGGGCGATCCTGGCCTGTCTGACTCCGTCGGAAGCCGTCTTGGGGGCCTCTCTGGACCGACTTGGGGCCCTCTTGTGGTGCTCCAGGGCCGTCTTGGAGGCCACCATGGGCGTCTTGAAGGCCTCTTTGGCCGTCGTGGGGCCCTCTTAGTGCCGTCTCAGTGGTCTCTTGGGCCGTTCTGGCGGCCTTTGAGGCGCTCTGGTGGGGGGCTCTTAGGCCGTCTAGGGCCGTCGGACGACCGAAGAACAAAAAAACAAATCCCTCAAACAACTAAGCAACATCAATGATGTGGGCCTCTTTGGGCTTTCTTGGAGGACCTCTTGGAGGCCTCTTGGGCCGTCTGGGAGGTCTCTTGGAGGCCTCTTGGGCCGTGGAGGCTTCTTGGACGAACTTGGAGCCATCTTGGAGTCTCTTGGGCAATCGTAGAGGCCATCTTGGACCGTCTTGGGCGAACTTGGAGGCCATCCTGGCCGTCTTGGAGGCCATCTTGGAGCCATCTGTAGCAGAAACAGCCTTGGCAACCACCCGTGCTGGGTGGCTGGCGCGCTGTGTTGAAGCCCTAGGGGGAGTCTTAAACATACCAAGAACGTTTCAGAATACCCAGCATGCCGAGCACCCCTGTGGCATGCCAACAGGGGGCGGCGGATCAAAGACGCCTATGGCCGTCTCGGAGGCATCTTGGAGGCCATCTGGAGACATCTTGGCCGTCGGAGAGGCCATCTTGAGCCGTCTTGGAGATTTGTTTGTGGACGTTGAGGTTGTTTGCGGTCCTTTTCGGGTGGCCGGCGCGCTGGGCCGAAGCCCCACGGGGAGTTCTTTGGGAAAAAGAACCAAAACCAAGCCGTAGCACGCCGAGCACCCCAGTGGCAAGTCAACAGGGGGCGGCGGATCAAAGACGCCTACGGCGAATCACGGCCTTCCCCTGCCTTTTGGAACATCGCCCATATGACCGAACGTTGTGGCCAGAGCTCTGCTAAGCTGTCCGACCATGTGTTCCCCCAGCCGTTCTGGAAACTAAACCCTTCGGGAACATGCGGGAGAGAAAGAAAGAGAAGCGGAGGAGAGGAAGGACAAATAGAGAGGAGGAGGAGGAGGAGGAGGAGGAGGAGGAGGAGGAGGAGGAGGAGGAGGAGGAGGAAGAGCGGGCGGAGGAGGCTGAGGAGGATGAGGAGGAGGAAGATAACTCTTGGGGCCTTCTGGGAGCTTCTTGTGGGCCTCTCGGAGGCCTCTTGGAAGTCTCCTTGGGCCTCTCGGGGGTCTTTTGGGGCTTCTTGGGGGCCTCTTTGGCCGTCTCAGGGCGTTCCTGGCCCGTCTGACGCCGTCGAAAGTTGTCTGTGTGGCCTCTCTGGACCGACTTGGGGCCCTCTTGGGTCGCTTCAGGGCTGTCTTGGAGGCCACCATGGGCGACTTGGAGGCATTTCGGACCCTTTGGGGGCCCTCTGGGGGGCGTTTTGGAGGCTTCTTGGGCCGGGGTCATCTTGGAGGCAGTTGGGGCCCCCTTTGGCCGTCTTGGGCTGTCGGACGGCCGAAAAGAAGCAAAGGGCTAAATCCTTCAAATACCGAAACAACATCAGTGATGTTGGCCTTCTCGGGCCCTCCTGGAGGACCTTATTGAGGCCATCTTGGGCCGTCTGGGGTCTCTTGGGGCCATCTTAGGGTCTCGAGGGGCCAACTTGGCCGTCTCGGAGGCATCTTGGAGGCCATCTGGAGACATCTTGGCCGTCGGAGAGGCCATCTTGAGCCGTCTTGGAGATTTGTTTGTGGACGTTGAGGTTGTTTGCGGTCCTTTTCGGGTGGCCGGCGCGCTGGGCCGAAGCCCCACGGGGAGTTCTTTGGGAAAAAGAACCATTTTGGAGCCCTCTTGGGGGCCTCTTGGGCCGTCTGGAGGCCATCTTAGGCGTCTTTGAGCGATCCTCGGGCCACTCGGAGCCCTCTGAAACCGTCTGGGAGGACTCTTGGGCCCACCTTGACCCGTCTTTGGGCACTCTTGGAATCGTGCTGGTTCCCCTAAAGCTCGCACGGCGCGCGCCGACACATTTTGGGAACACCCAGGAATTTTAGGCACATGGGGGGCCTAGCTCATCAGAGTCCTTCAATCCGACCTCAAGACGACAGCCCCTCTACGACGCAGAATTGAATGAGCCTTGGGACACTCCACAACGTGCTGAAGGCACGGTGGGAAAGCCGTGCGGGAAGCCTTGAAAGCGCTCAAGAGCGCCCGATTATCTGTGCCTCGGTACACAACTATTTACAGTTATCAATTGAGAGGGATCGAAGGGACCGCAGGACCTTCCACTCAGTGCCTACCGCACGGTGGCGGATATGGACGCGTGTTTAAAGAGTGTGTCAAGGCCATCCCAGAGGAATACCACAGGGGGGTCACCGACGCCTTGTGTTTTTCATTGCAACACTTCTGCCTCTCCCAGTTTTTTGAATGTGATTCTCTTGGCGCTCCGGCAGCAGACCATAGCGTCATGCAGGCCAGCATCGCGAGTATTCTGCGTAGTAGAAATATGCTTCGTGATTTCAACGTGCTCAGGAGTATGCGGAGGCGAGGGGGTGGACGGCAGGCTGTCTACAGTGGATCTAAGTCGCCGAAGATGTCTCGCTAGCCGCCCCCCGCTTGCCCCCTCTCTCATCTCCGAGGGCATGCAGGCAGCACGACAGCTGCCGACGAGCGTATGGTATGTTGGGTATCATATCTGAAGGGCTTCGCCCTCTTCCGCTGGCCCCCCCGTGTTCTGATCGCCTGCGCGGCTGGGTCGCTTGGGTCGGTCGTTCGACTGGCCGATGGTTTGGCAGGCCTTCAGCTGGGTTGGCTGGCTGGCTGTCTGGATGGGCGCTCGGCAGATTCGCTACAGTCGGCCCGGATTAGTAGGTCGACCCTGCCAGCTCAAGGGTACCTTTGTGTCTTGTGCCTCGCGACACGTGCCTTCTCACACTCCTACGGCGATGTGGCCCTCGGAAGGGTCTTGTGTCCTCTCGCGTGTCCTGTCCAATCAAGGCCGACTGTACTTGGATGGCTGATGGGTCGTTCCGCAGGCCGGCTGGTTGGTTGGTTGGAAGGCTGGCTGGGTGGCTGGCGAGTTCGAGGAACGGACCCACCGGTTTCTGCTGAAGGTCGTGATCTTTGGAGCGCCGTCCCGCCGGTTTGTTCTAGCGCAGCGCGGCCCCAGGAGCGCGGATCCACCGTCCGTTGGGAGTGGTCGCAGCTCCAGGAGTGCGAGCTGCTTGCTGCACGAGGGATCGTTGCCCCGACAGCTCGGATCCACAGTTTTTTTGCGCAGCGGGCTGGGGCTTCGAGAGCGCGCTGGGAGCGAGCGCGGCTTCGGGAGTGCGAGCTGCCTGTTGCACGAGGGGCCGTGGCCTCGGCAGCTCGGACCCGCCGTTGTTGCGCGCGAAGGGTGGCTTCGGGAGCACGCCTGGCATCGCTCGGACGTGTGCATTTTTCCTTCGGCGAGGAGCATCGAGGAGCATCCTTGATCATTTGGCGAAAAAGCGATGGCGAGCACGGGGCCAGAGCTTTGTACATCTTTTGTGCTACAAGGTTTGGCCTCGGGAGCGGAGACCTCTCTCTCTCTAGTCTCAAATCGGGCCTGCCCCTCTACAGGAGGAAGATTCAAAAATAGTCAAAACTAGTCTGGGGACTATGTTGTTAGTATGTTTGGCCATTTTGGAGCATTTCTCTAGTATTCTGTTCGTCGAAAATCTCCCTGTAGGGGGACACGCCCGACTTAACTCTAGTCTTTTACAATAGATGGTGACCTCGGGAGCGCGGATCCACATTTTGTTGCGGGGGGCATGGCTTCGCGGGCGCAGACACAGCATGCTCCACAGGGTTGGCCCCGGGAGCGCGGATCCGCAGCTGTTTGCCAGGGATCGTGGCCTTGGGAGTTCGGGTCTATTGGTATGATGTTCCAACCTATTTCAGTAGCCTTGACCACCAGAAAGAAATTCGAGCACCAAGAAAGTACCGAAACTACAGATGCTCGCGTGTCGGGCCCTGGGAGTCGATACTCGTTCGACACTGTTTCGATACTTTTCTGGGTGCTCGAAATTTTCTGGGATGTGGGCCGTAAGTACGACGGGGGCAACATAAGTCTATTGTGCCTTTGCGTGTCCCAGGGCCCCCGCGGTTGGGCCCTTCCCTCCTCCGCGGCCGCCCTCTTCTTTTCCACCCGCTACGGCGCTCGCACCCGGCGCCCTGCCACTGGTAACCCCCGCGCATGGGTCCGCTGGCGCCGAGGACAGAAAGTGTCCCAGGGCCCCCCCTCCTCCCCTGCCGCCTCCTCCTCCTCCTCCTCCTCCTCCTCCTCCTCCTCCTCCTCCTCCTCCTCCTCCTCCCCTCCCCCTCCTTCTCCGCTTCCTCCTCCTCCACCTCCTCCTCTTTCCTCCGCCTCCTCCTCCCTCCTCCTCCTCCTCCTCCTCCTCCTCCACCTCCTCCACCTCCTCCTCCTCCTCCTCCTCGATCGATTGTAAGTGCTCGCTGTGGACTGATCGCACCAAGGGGGTCACGGCTGACAAGGCTTGCCTCCTCTCGTCGTTGGCTGCCGTTGCTCGTCGCCTTCGTGACATCCTAGGGGGACTAGCAGGGCCGACCACTACGGGGGTAGCTAATTTCGGGATCGACGACACTCAGGGTAAGCCTCGAAGATCGTCTGGTCGGTGTGCTACTGCCAAGAAGCGAGTTGCCATGTTTAACCGTCGCGCCAAGAGGCTGGCCAAGTTGAAGCCTGACCTCGGCAAACGATGCAAGCAGATATTTACCGCTGGGCCGCTGCCTGGCATTTTATATGGAGCAGAAGTTCATGGGTCTGGTGACGGGGAGGT